CCCCATGGGCTGGAAAAGCCATTCTCTGCAGCAGAGAAGAGGGAGCTGTTGAGGGTCCTGGGGCACGTGGCATGCGCGTGGCATCATCTGACTCCCGAGGTCTCTGCTTTCACCTTCTGCCCCTGCCTCCGGCCCTTCCACTTTCTTTCCGGATGCTGTAGGCGTGCCCGGGCGTATGCATGTGCTGAGCCATGGGGGTGCTTGGGTGCACGTGTGGAGCTGTAGGCATCCCTGGTCACGCGCGTGTGCAGTGTCTGACTGTCCCTGCAAGTTGGGCTCGTCCGCGCCGTCCCCAAGGCCATGCTGCGTGCTTGCTTCATGTTCGTGCGGAAGGGCCCCGGTGTCCTGCCGGCCTGTGGTGCCATGAGCACGTGTGAGGGGCGCTGCCCTGTGGCCTAGCGGGCCTGCACAGGCCGAGCAGTCGTGGTTCAGTTCCGGAGGTACCCGAGTGCTCCCAAGGCCACGCTGTGTCCCGTGCCCTGCGGCCTTGTTTTCTAGCCTCCCACGGAGTGGCACAGGTGTCCCCTGGTGCACAGGACACCCCGCTCGTTGGGCGTGAGGTGCCTGCCCCGGCCTGGCCGGACTGCTGAGTCGGTCTTCATCACTGGACTGAAGGCCAGCTGGCTGATGTCGGCTACCCCTGCTTGGGGTCGGGGTTCTGCCAACGACTGCTCCTGCCCACCCACACTGTCTGCCTCTACCATCCTGGCTGGCCCTGAGCAGCTGCCGGCCCCCAGTGCTGCCTGGAGAGGGCCCTCTGTGAGGGAGTGGAGGCTCCAAGCTGTCCCTGACCTCCCCAGAAGCTCAGCCCGCTGCCCCGTCCAGGAGCACCTCCCCCCTCGGGTCACTGTCCTTCCGTGGCAGCTGGCCAGTGCGGACTTGTGGGTTGGCAGGATGAGGCTGTGCCACGCCCACCTCCTGGCTTGGGGGCAGCCTGGGCAGACTGCACGTCCACTGCCCTGCGTCGGCACTCCGAGCCTGTCTTGCCGCTGCAGGAGTTGGCCCGACTGGCTGGGGGGGGGTTCGCCTCCTCCCTTCCCCGGCCCCACACCCTGAGCCTTGCCCTCGAGCTCTTCCCAGGAGCCCTGGCCTGCGGCCTGCGGCCTGCGGCCTGCGTACCCCGGGTGTCCTCGCTGGGTCTCAGCCCTCTGTGGACCGCCCCCTATCCGCTCCGGCCTCAGCAGCCAGAGAGCCTCCACCTACTGGCCCGGAACAGGCAGGTTGTCACGCTGCTGTCTTCTGGCTGGTTGGGGACTCCACCAGCTGCCCTCTGCTGCACTGTGCGCTCTGTGCCGCCCTCGTGCTGTGGAGCCTGTCTGTGTGCTGCGTTGACTTCCCGTGTGCGGGCTCTCTCCCCGTGTGGGGTCCTCCGCTGCCCCGCCCTGTCCTGGGTGAGGAGACCCAGCAACCGGGGCCATGGAGGAGGCGCTTCCTGAGCTCGGGGGTCTGTCTACATCTGTGGGGGCAGGGCACCAGCAGCCGTGTGGGTGCCGAGCTGAGGCCACCAGAGTGGGGCAGGAGTACCTGGGCACAGGGTGCTGGGTGCGGCCCGCCCCACTCTCACAGTGAGTCCCATGGCTTCTCCGGTCACGCTGGCGCCCCTGTGCTCTGGTCCGTTCGCCCAGAAGTCCCTCCACGGCCCCTCCTGTGTTCTGAGGGGAGACCACGGGACTCGTTCCCACATGCCCTTGAGGCAGCCCTTTGTGACTGGTGCTCTGGGCCGTCACCTGTCTCCATCCGTCCTTCCCTGGGGGTCAGACTCTTCAGGCAACTCAGGACGTGGGAACGGGTGTATGGCCCGCGGGGCCTAGAGCTTGTCACATGCCGGCTGCGGTCGCGTTCCGGGCAGCAGGCGGGCAGGACAAGTCCACCGGGTTGTGGGTGGAGATGTCAGCTCTGCCCGTGGAGGGAGAAAACCCTCAGACCCCCAGAATCTCTGCCACCCTGGCAGGCAGGCCGGTGTGCTGAGACGTGCAGTCCGAGCAAGACGGCTGGCCAGCGACTTGTCGGGGCAGACTCCTCCTGGGACAGCCCTCCGAGCTCCCGAGCCCCTTCGTCTGCTCTGACAGGCAAGCATCTTGTACCTTGGCCTGTCTTCCTCAGCCCCCTCTGCTGTGATTTCTTTCAGAAGTGTGAGGTGTCTGGGTGGTCTCATCTCCCGTTCTGGTAGGTGACTACATGGAGTCTGTCGACCCACCCC